GTCTTGAAATCTATCTTGATCTAGGACTAACTCGGACTGAACCTTGGTGAAAATTGAAATTTAATCTATTTCTTATTGACAGGATTATAACACCACGTAAGTTGGATAAGTATATTTAATTAACAAGAATATATATCGAGCACATGTTAATAGTAACAGCTCCTGATGCGGACTAACCTAAACGAACGTCGCGAGGACGTGCGTAGAGTAAAGAACAAAAGACGCGATAGTCTACGACGTACATCGCGGCGCTCAAATCAAACTGAACACATATGGATTGCTTTCTCACACCCCCTCTATCGATATGAGTTCTCTAAACTAACTGAAACTAAACATTATTGTGAACATGAGTATTAACTAAAATTAAACATTATTTTGAACATAGGTTCAACATTTCAACGCAACGCTCATGCTTCGCTTTGGTTAACGCCTTGGTAAGAATGTCGGCTAACATAGAGTCCGTGCTTAAATAATGTACGATTATTTCATTGTTTTCCACTAACTCACGCGTAAAATGAAATCTGATATCACTATGTTTGCTTCTTTAATGGAAAACTGCATTTTTTTGATAGTTCAATAGCGCTTTGATTATCGCAATAAACATCAATCGGGTCACTTATGAGTTCTTTAAAGTCCATGTGATTTAACGGTCTTTTAACATAGATAACTTCTCGTGACACTTCAGCAAGGGCGGCATATTCAGCCTCCATCGTAGATAGAGCGACTGACGATTGCTTTACGCTTTTCCGACTTATTGGACTGCCCGATAACACTAATAGATTTCCCGTGCACGACCTCCGGTCGTCGATGTCTCCTGCCCAGTCTGAATCCGAATATTCATATGTTTCTTACATATGTAATACAATATTTCGATGTCGCTTTAAGATAGCGAAGTACACGTTTCGCGAGGATCCAATGCATTTTTCCTGGGTTAACGCAGAATCGACTTAGTGTAGCGGCTGCAAAAGCGATATCAGGACGTGTGGCATTTGCAAGATGAATTAACGCACCAATTAATTCCCGGTACGGTTTATGTTTCATTTCGTGTATTTCTTTAGGTGTCTGTGGACACATCTCCGTTGCAATTTTCGTATTTGATTCGATTGGAGTTGACACACTTTTTGCTTCCTGCGTACCGAATCTTTCAATTGTCTCTTTAATGTATCGCTCCTGGAATAGTCGAATTTGTCCTGTTTCTTCATCGCGTTTAATGCTAATCCCTAATACATTCTTCGCTGGCCCCAGATCTTTCATTTTAAACGTTAATTTTAACTTAGACTTAATCGCTTCGAGTTTCTCTATTTTTCTAGATGATAAAATTATGTCATCGACATAAATAATAAGAATTACACGGTTTTCTTCCGCTCCAAACACATATACGCATGGATCTGCAGTTGTGCGCCTGCCTCCACTACTTAATATGAAGCTGTATAATTTTTTATACCATTGGCGCCCAGACTGTTTTAGACCGTATAGTGGTTTTAATAATTTGTACACTTTTTCTTCGAGTCCTTGACGAACAAACATTTCCGGTTGCTCCATATATGCTTCTTCAATTAGTTCGCCCTGTATATATGCTGCCACGACATCCATTTGATGAACGTGCATTTTCTCTTGCACAGATGCAGCGAGTAAGGTGCGAATAGTTTCATATCTGGCCACCGGAGCAAATACTTCAGTATAATCAATACCAAATTTTTGCGTGTGTCCACGCGCGACGAGTCTGGCCTTGTACTTTTCAATTTCCCCTTCTGGAGTAATTTTCCTTTTGAAAACCCATCTGCTTGTCAAGACTTTTTTATTTGCTGGTACAAGTTCCCATGTTTCGTTATTTAGCAAATTTTTATACTCGATTTCCATTGCCTGTAGTCATGCATCTTTGTCCGACCGACTTAAGACGTCTGACACAAATATCGGGTCAAAATCTTCAACGTTGTGTAGCAGATATAATTTTTTGGGTCTTCCTCGTTGGCCCGTTCTCTCAATCCTTGGGCGACCGGGTGCGCGTTCATCAAACAATTTTGTCTTTCATCTTGATTTTCATCTATCTCATCTTCATCCGATGGTTGATCCGGGTCCTCATTTTCAATATCTACTTCTTGCGATTCCTGCTTCTTATCATCTTGTTCTTCGCCAGTAGGATCAGAGAAAATAAACAACTCATTTTGCTGTCCTTGACCTGTAAGAGTTTCAAAAAATTTGACATCTCGAGCTTTGATTACTTTTCTCGTCCTTCTTTGCCATAGACGGTATCCCTTTGATTCTTCTGAGTATCCTATTAATATGTACTCATCGCCCTTTGGTTGAAACTTACCCCTACTTGGCCCCTTGTATAACGCAATTGCCTTGCTTCCAATAATTCGGAAAAAATCTACGAACGGTTTCCGTCGTGTCCATGCTTCGTATGGGGTTATTCCATCAAGCGCCTTTGTTGCACTCCTATTCCGCAAATATGTCGCTATATTAATGGCTTCAGCCCATGGCGAGTTGGGTAAATTCGCTTGTGTCATAAGACACCTTGCCATTTCCACTAGCGTACGGTTAGCGCGTTCCGCCACGCCGTTTTGCTGTGGCGTATACTCGATACTTAATTGATGGACGATTCCCTCTTCTTTAAGAAAATTTCCAAATTCCTTTGAAATAAATTCTTTCGCATTAACCGTGCGGATTTTTTTTGATTTTACGACCCGTTTGTCTTTCAGCTTTTCTTTTAAAATCTTTGAACGCTTGAAGTATATCCGATCGGTTCCTAAGCGGTACTGTTTGAGTATATCGCGAATAGTCGTCAATAAATGTTAAAAAATATCTCGCGCCGCCGAGAGATTCGCATCTCATAGGTCCGCAAATGTCTGAATGAATTAAGTCGAGTGGTCCTTTCTCACGATTTTCGGATCTTCTAAACGGTAGTACATGAATTTTACACGTAGCGCAAATCTCACAATTTAAATTAGTTGACTGTGTTGCATAATTCATACCATCGACCATTTTGCCATTTCTCATATTTTTCAGATCGTTAAAATTAATATGTCCGTATCTTTCATGTCATCTTATTAGATTTTCATTAATATCATAGTGTGTTTGCATTGCCCGTTCATTTTTTTCGTCTATAATATATAACTGATCTCGCTTTGTAGCTGTCAGAACTTTTACATTATTTTTATTTCTAACCGTCGCGCGATCTTTTTCGAACGTCACTGAATACCCACGATCTGTGGCACGAGAAACTGACAAAAGATTATTCCGTAAACCTGGTACATACAATGTATTCTCTAATTTGATAGATTTTTGCGAGCATCTACCTATTTTCGCATTTAAATTTACGTTACCTATACCGGTTGATTCCACACATTGATCTGCGGCTGTATAAACTTTATATTGCTCTTCATTATTCACAATCTCAAATTTGCTTCTTTCGTTACACATATGCCTCGTCGCGCCGCTATCGAGGCACCATACGCTCGACTTTTTAACCGGTTCCGTATTATACGCGATCGCAGTCATCGCTTCGCTTAATTGATACGAATTTTCGCGTTTTTCCGTTGGTTTTAATCTACATTCTGTATTTTTATGTTCGTATCGTCCGCAATTGAAGTGAATATTTTTTTTTATCAAAATTGTCTTTTACATGTAACGCATCACTTTTCTTTTCACTCTCGCCTGACTTTATATCGCGCTCATTCTGTCTAGCCTCTTCTTCCTTTATCTTCGCCGTAAGATTGTCTAACGTAGGTATATCGTCTCGCGATTCAATAGCGATGCTAAAGTTTTCGAATTTCCTCGGTAGCGAAATCAACAGCATTATGGACAATAATTCGTCCGAAATTTCGATACCGGCTTCCTTGACTTGATCGGCTATTTCGGAAAATTCGTTTAGATATTGAACAATAGTCGTACCTGGTTTCGATTCCATTTGTAAAAGTTCTTTACAGAGAGTCGCCTTTCTTACCGGTCCGCGGGATTCAAAAATGATTTTCAACTTGTCCCATGCCTCCTTTGATGTATTCGCCTTTTTGATGTGAAGGAGCTGGCTATGCGTAACACTTAAATTTATCAGTGCCAGGGCCTTTCCGTCCTTTTTTATCCATTCTTGAGGATTTTCTTCGGGTTTCACTTCACTACCGACGACGTATTGCCACAAGTCGTTATATATCAATATACTTTTAATTTGCACCTTCCACAAATCGTAATTGTGTTCTGTTAATTTCTCGATGTTCGAGAACATATTAAACGCGGCCATGTTAGTGCACGTTTTTCCGCATAAAACACTTCGACACTTTAATTTTCTTATACTTTTTCCTTATATTACTTAAAAGGGCGTTCTGGGCCCATAACCTGACAGGATTATAACACCACGTAAGTTGGATAAGTATATTTAATTAACAAGAATATATATATATATATCGAGCACATGTTAATAGTAACAGCTTCTGATGCGGACTAACCTAAACGAACGTCGCGAGGACGTGCGTAGAGTAAGGAACAAAAGACGCGATAGTCTACGACGTACATCGTGACGCTCAAATCAAACTGAACACATATGGATTGACACTTATATAAATTCAAACTATTTTCTTTGAGTAGCTGACGAATCTACAATGACTAATTCAGGTGCGTCGAAGTATTATGGAATTTAAAATATAATGTGTCTCTAATATAAATACCAACTATTTTTGGTTTACTTATCAATTTGATATGGCAAACGTACGTTGAAGCATTTCAGAAATTGAAATATAATGTCTCTTGAAATCTATCTTGATCTAGGACTAACTCGGACTGAACCTTGGAGGAAATTGACATTTAAACTATTTCTTGTATAAATTCAAACTATTTTCTTTGAGTAGCTAACGAATCTACAATGACTAATTCAGGTGCGTCGAAGTATTATAGAATTTAAAATATAATGTGTCTCTAATATAAATACCAACTATTTTTGGTTTACTTATCAATTTGATATGGTTAACTTACGTTGAAGCATTTTAGAAATTGAGATATAATGTCTCTTGCAATCTATCTTGATATAGGACTAACTTAAACTGAACCTTGAAGGAAATAGAAATTTAAACCATTTTTTATATAAATTATATAGAAGTATTTTTTGTAATAAGGATTGCTATAGCTAAATTTATTTACGAAATTAGAAACGGTAGGAGTGAAGTAGTTTTCGAAGTTAACAATGTTGCAGTTGACATCATTCATTATAGTAAAAATGTCAAAGTTAATGTCACTTCTGAAATAAGAATAAGAAATGATAGAGTTGATATTATTCCTTAAGCATAGAATGTTGAAGTTGATATCATTTATAAAGGAAAGAATATAAAATTTGTTATTATCTACAAAAATAGAAATGTAGAGGGCGAATTCATTTCTAACAATAAGGAATGATAAAGGTGAAGTTATTTCTGATTTTAGGAATGATAAAGTTCTGGTAACTTCTGGAATAAAGAATCATAAAATTGACGTTGTCTCAGAAGGTTGGAATGCTAAAATTGGTGTAGTTTCTGAAATAAAAAACGACAGAATTGAAGCTATTTTTGAAATTAAGAATGTTGAAGTTCATGTCAACTGTGAAAGCCATAATATGAAAGTTGACGTTATCTTTGAAAATAGAAATATGGTGATTGGAGTAATATCTGAAATAAGAAATGATGAAGTTGAAATAATTCCAGAAATTGGAATCTTAAAGTTGGTGTCATTTATGGAATAAGGAATGATGAAGGTGAAGCTATTTCTGACGTTAACAATGTTGAAGTTGATGCTATTTATGAAGGAAAAAGTATCAAATTTGTTATTATCTACAAAAATAGAAATACATATGTTGAATTCTTATTTAAAAATGAGGAATGATAAAGCTGAAGTTATATTCTGATTTTAAGAATAATAAAGTTGATGTCATTAATGGCAGTTAGAATATCGAATTTGTTATTATTTACAAAAGTAGAAATACAGAGGTTGAATTCATTTTTAATAATAAGGAATGTTAAAAGTGAAGTTATTTCCGAAGTCAAGAATGTTAAAGTTGATATCATTCTTTAAGGCTAAAATATCAAAGTTGTTGTTACTTGTTAAATTGGAAATATGGAGATTTAAGTAATATCTGAAATAAGAAAAGATAAAGTTGATGTCACTTGTGAGGGCAGAAATATTGAAGGTGATGTTATTTATAAAAATATAAATATGGTATTTGACGATTTTTTGAAATAAGCAATGTTAAAGTCGATGTTATGTACAGGATGAGGCATTTAAAACAGGCCACCTGAGTAAGTCGCTTAATTTTAGCAGTAGAAAAGAAAGTGTCGAATAAGAGTTGTTTGATTTCGAGGGGCACATAACGTGGTGCTAATAACTTTTTTATCGATGGAAGCGTAGAGGAGACATGAAGATAGACTCTGTTTTTTTTAAAAAGAATAATATAGATTCATACACACGTTCTGATCAAGCATTTCGAAACGAATACAATGACCTGTATAATTGAAGGTAATTCGAGGTTAATGACAATTTCAACTTCACCTGCTTATAACTTTATACTGGTTAGACTCTCGAGATTTTTACAAGAATCTTTTTTCGAAGCGCATTCAATTTCCTATAAGAATATAACATCTCTTAATTTTTCAGTTATTTCGTTCTCAAAATATACAAACCAGAATGCAAACAGTCTCCTTTGCTAGATATTTTGAGTGAGAGAATTCGACTCTTTTGAGGTACTTGGGATTGAAATAGAGAGCTGAAATTTTTAGGGAATTTGGTTATAATTATTTAGAAGCATTTAATACGTTGACTGCCAGGCAAATAGTCTTGAAAATTTCTGCTAGGATTAAATATTATCTACACTATTGGAAACTACATAATCAAATGTTTATCGTGGTATTTATTTTTGTAACTTCATCAAAATGCATGAATTTCATTCGAATTCATTTTTTTTCGTGCTTACCTTTCAGAATTAATTTGTTTACTTCTTCAGTGAAAAGCACTGCCACCCATATATGGGTGACGTGGCGATCAACGTGTCAAGACTCTCGAAGCATTCAAATTCGAAAACCACACTTTTAAGAGCCACCCTGATGTTTAACTAAAGATTGGTAGCCATAAATGTTTGCTATTCATTATTAATATTACATCATATTACACAAGTGTACTTAAAAATTACAATAATTATAGAGGAATAACAATAAGTAACATTTAATGGCTACTAAGTTCGTACAGATGCATTGCAATGATGATGAATAGATACATTGTAACCGAGATCGTAGGAATAAAATTTTTAAGGTATTTCAGTATTCAGTTCAATAACAGATTACAAGTGTATTTTAATAATTACAGTAATCGTAGAAGAATAACAATAAGTAAAATTCGAAAGCTACTAAAGTTTCTATAGACACATTGCAATGGCCATCAGGTTGAGACTTGGATTACATATGCATAGATATATTGCAATGGACATCGTAGAGATGAAATTTTTCAGGGAATTTCTTTCTACCTATTTCGAAGCATTTAAGACCCTTCAAATATTAAAATTCGAAAGTCACCCTTTTAAGCACCACCCTAATGTTTCATGCTACAGTTACGTTCCACGGTTTAGTCTGAAACGTGCCCTTACGTTACGAGCGAAACTCGACGAACTCTTCACTAGCTACTGAAGAAACTATTTACATTTCAACATGAAAAGAATTACTCTTGCGTAAAGTCGATTTTTATACCGTATCAAAAAGATACAAACAATTGGTAAAACTAAAATTTTATTAAATTTCATATCGACTTTGTTTCATTGCTTCAATCTTACCTTGTTCATAATCGAAAAGATTAGCTCTAGGTGCTCATAGCCAAACGTAATTCTTAAAATCTTAACTTATTCAATACATGTAAAACTACTTTTAATATGCATATAACGACCATACGATGCAATAAAAATATCAACTACGCGAATATATTACTCCTGTGCGTACGAAAAGTTAGACAATATCGATTTATAATTTTTTTGTGTGTGATAGACCTCTCCAAAAAATCTGAAAAAAATTATATATATTGATATCAATAATAAGCTATTAAAACTGCCAGAATATGAACATGGTCACATGAAAAATTAAGGTAATAATATAAACAAATATCGGTTTTTGATTTTTCCCACCATGGTTCCGTCACTTCCAAAAATCTGAGGAAATTACAGATTAATAACCATATCAAAACACTAACAATATAAAAATATAAACGTGGTCATTTCATAATTTCTATCAAAAACAATTATTTTTAAACTTCTCGAATTTTTTAAAAATCCATTTTGCAATGAAAAATTCTGAAAAAATTCACAAACACGTACGTCATAAAGTAGAATATCCCTAATTATTTTCAAAATTGTTTATACAGTACAACAAAAGATATATAGCTTAAACTGTAAATTGCATTTTCCCGTGCAACTACCCTTCCAGTAAGGGTTTCGGGGTTGAAACTTGCCACAAATGGTTTTTTTAACACTCTATTAATTGATATGTTCATTGATCAATTTGGCTCAAAGCCACTCTTATGATTCTCGTATTTAAAGTGTGAGAAATAGTATCAAAGATATCCAACGTCTCCTAAAACTTCATTTCTCAATTATTTCCACAAAATGATACAAGACATACGACTACCTTGCGTAGCAGCATCAGTTAATCTCTAATGCGGCCATAAAAGACTCGGAGAATTTATGATAGGCAGGTTTAAAGAACCTATCGCAGTCCAGGAGTAGGGAATTTCGAAAAATCAGCTTCGTGGATTTAATGGTCCCTCTTTAACGGTGAGGGCGCGACAGATCTCTTTATTCGCTCGGCACAAAGGCACCGCGCGGATTACACAGCCAGCAATCCCTCCGCTATGGATTCTACCACGGGGCATTATGCCAGCACGTGGAAGGACATCCACCCATCATCCCTGGACAATACAGACTTGAAGCAGTTTGTCTCCTTTTCGCGTTACTTTCGCGATCTTTGCGCGATTCCCTTGGATCGATGGCGATAGATCAGACGTGGCTGATTCGAGTGAAAAAATCTTTTCTTTTTTAAGCCTTTTTAATCGAAGTTGTTTTTACTTGTGAAATTGGTAACATGGAGATTGAAGTAATATCTGAAATAAAAAATGATAATGTTGAAATTATTCCAGAAATTTGAATGTTAAAGTTGATGTCATTTATGGCAGTTAGAATATCAAACTTGTTATTATTCAGGAAAATAGAAATACAGAGGTTGAATTCATTTCTAATAATAAGGAATGATAAAGGTGAAGTTATTTCCGAAGTCAAGAATGTTAAAATTGATATCATTCTTGAAGGCCAGAGTATCAAAGTTGAA